ATTTCATCATGACATATTTGTATATGCACATGACATAATTTGACCAGTTTCAATCCCCAGTACCCCTTGTTCTCCTTCCCCCAGATCCCCTTCCTCTACCCCATTGGTATCCCTTCTTATTTTCATGATCTCCCTTTTTTTTCCTTCTCTAGCTTCCGCACATGAAAGAAAACTTACAATCCTTGGCTTTCTGAGTCTGGATTATTTTGGTTAGCTTGATGTTCTCAAGTTCCATACATTTTTCGGCAAATGACAAGTTTCATTCTTTATGGATGAATAAAATTCTGTTGTGTGTGTATTTTCTTTATTCATTCATCTGTTGAAGGATACCTAGATTGATTCCATACCTTGGCTGATGTGAATTGTGCTGCAATAGATATTGAGTGCATGTATTTCTGTAGTATGCAGATCTTAATTCTTAATTCTACCAAAAAAGCAGTTTAACCCATTCCTTGTCTTTTAAGGAACCGCCATACTGATTTCCACAGTGGTTGTATTAATTTACATTTCCACCAACAGTGTATGAAAGTTTTTCCCCCTGCATCCTTATATTTTTTAATTAATTTATTTGTTCTTATTTGTTATACATAACAAGCAGAATGCATTTCAATTCATAGTACATATATGGAGCACAATTTTTCATTTCTCTGGTTGTACACAAAGTAGACTCACACCATTTGTGTCTTCATACAAGTATCTAGGGTAAAGATATCCATCTCTTTCCACCATCTTTCCTACCCCCATGGCCCCTCCATTCCCCTTTCTCCTCTTTGCCCTATCTAAAATTCCTCCATTCCTCCCATGCTCCCCCCCGCTTATGGATCAGCATCCACTTATCAGAGAAAATATTCGGCTTTTGTTTTTTATGATTGGCTTACTTCACTTAGCATGATATTCTCTAACTCCATCCATTTACCTGCACATGCTGTGATTTTGTTCTCTTTTAATGCTGTGTAATATTCTATTGTGTATATATAACAGAGTTTCTTTATCCATTCATCTATTGAAGGCCATCTAGGTTGCTTCCACAATTTAGCTATTGTGAATTGTGCTGCATTGATGTGGCTGCATCACTGTAGTATGCTTATTTTAAGTCCTTTGGGTATAAACTGAGGAGTGGGATAGCTGGGTCAAATGGTGGTTCCATTCCAGATTTTCTAAGGAATCTCCACACTGCTTTCCAGATTTTTGACTTTCTAACAAGAATGAGATGAAGTCTTGGTGTAATTTTGATTTTCATTTCCCTAATGGCTAGGATGTTGAACTTCTTTTAGTTTACTTTTCTTTCTTTCTTTTTTTTTTTTTTTTTTGAGACAGGTCTCACTAAGTGATCTCAAACTGGCTATCTACGTGCCTCTGCCTCTCATGTAGCTGGGATTATAGGTGTGTGTCACTGTGCCAGGTTGGTGCTTTGTCTCTTGAGGCTATGTCACAAGCACTGTAGTCCCTCCTTATCTGAGGGGGATATATTCTAAGACCTCCAGTGGATGCCTGAAACTGCCAGTGGTACTGAAAACTACATATACTGTTTTTTTATATGTACACACCTATGATAAAGTTTATCATTTAGGCACAGTAAGATATTAACAACAAGGGCTGGGGTTGTGTCTCAGTGGTAGAGTGCTTGCCTAGTGTGCATGAGGCACTGTGTTCAATCCTCAGCATCACATAAAAATAAATAAAATAAAGGGATTGTGTACATCTACAACTAAAATATTTTAAAAAGATATTAACAATAGTAATGTACAGCAATTATAACAATATAGTGTAATAAAAGCTATGTAAATATAGTCTCTCTCAAAATATCTTATAATGTACTCACCCTTCTTTGTCCTGTGGTGATGTGACACGTTACAATGCCTATGTGATGAGATGAAGGAAGTAAATGAGGTAGGCATTGTGATGTAGTGTTAGGCTACTTCATAAGGGTTATTTAAATATAAGCACTGACATACTGATACCTCAATAGTCAATCTGATAACTCATATTGGCTACTAAGTTATACAGTATGGATGTTGGGCAAAGGGATGATTTACATCCTGAGTGGGATGGAGTGGGAAGCTCAAGATTTCATATCACTACTCAAAATGGTGCTAAACTTTAAACTTAAGAATTGTTTATTTTGGAATTTTTCTTTTTAATGGTTTTGGACTGGTTGACTGAGAGTAACTGAAACTTGGGTAACTGAAACCTTGGAAAGCAAAAATATGGCCTTCAGAGAAATAGGGCACCTGACACCTTCCCTCATCCCTGTACTCACTCATGCTTATCTTGAAGTCTCCACAGGTGTTGGTGTATTTAGTACTTATTGCACTGTATTACAATTCCTTTGTTTGTTTGTTTTTGGGTACTGATGATTGAATCTAGGTGCACTTGACCATTGAGCCACATCCCCAGCCGTTTTTAATTTTGTTTTTAAATTTTGAGACAGGGTCTCCCTAAGTTGCTAAGGGCCTCCATAAGTTGCTGAGGCTGGCTTTGAACTCAAGATCCTCCTGCCCCAGCATCCTGAGTTGTTGGGATTACAGGCATGTACCACCACATCTGGCTTCAATTATTTTTTTTATGTGCTGCTTTCATTTAGGAGCCTGTGGGATTCTTGAGGAAGGGTTTGTATCATTTTTAAAATCTCTATTGCCTAGCAAAGTACCTTGTATATGTGCGGGTGATAGTTTTGGTATGAACAGTTGCATGATTCAGATGAATTTTGGTGTCTGAATTGACACTTGAATTTGATTTAAAAAATTTTAAGCTGGGCTGGGGTTGTAGCTCAGTGTTAAAGAGTGCTTGCCTCGCACATGTGAGGCACTGTGTTTGATCCTCAGCACTACATAAAACTAAATAAAATAAAGATATTGTGTTCATCTACAACTAAAAAGAATTTAAAAAATTCTAAGCCTACGTTTCAGGAAGGTGGATCTTTTAAATATACGTTTTCAGTTCTTATATTATGCCAAAATATACATTATATTGGTAAAAGTAGTTTTTGCTATCTAAAACTAAATGCATAGTAACTGTGATAAACATTTTCTTTCCTTTTCAAAAGCTAGGTAAAAATATAATGAGTTTATATAAATGTCTGAGTGTATATATACATGTGTATAAATTTACAAATGTATATATTCTCTCTCTCTATATATATTTATTTATTTCCCTTGACAGACACACATTTATAGAGCTATTTACCTGAAACATATATTTCATTACATTTTATATATCAAAAGGCTGTATTCAAAGATATTTCAGAGGGTTGGGGGTATAGTTTAGTAAACAATTGCCTAGCATGTGAGAGGCCATGGGTTTGATCTCTAACACTGCAAAAAAAGATATTTTAGACATAGTATTTTCAAAGGTCACAGGTAACAAAATAATGTTAGGATGCCTTTCAGGTATCAGATGGGGGGTAGGACACAAAAGTTTCATTAATAAAATACCAGTTAATGTGTTCAAGAACAAAAATATACAACCTGGAGTCTGTTGATAGATGGGTGGTTTAAAATATAGTGTTAGATGTGCTCTAGGACAGAGATGATGGTGATGGGTGATGGTGATGATGGTTGGGAGACAGGATGAGTAATGATCCCTTGTGTGAGATTTTGGAGACTAAGAAATCCCTAAAAGAGCAGTACACCATTATCTCTGGAAAGCTCGAAACACTAGTAGTGTATCCCTCTGCATATTTCATTCAATAGAAGACTAGGAATTTGAGGGAGAAGCAAGGAAGTATAGATGTTATATAACTAGTACAGTGAAAAGACAATGTGTTCTACAGAAACTTCAGGTTGTTTATTATTTTGGAATAAGCTCCTGTATTTGTCATGGCATAATTTTGAGCAGCTGCACAGGCAACAGATATGTTTCCTACTTTCTTCAGCTAGTTGACAACTGTCTCCAGAGCAGGGTTTCTCACTCATCACTATTGATATCTTGGGCCATATGGCTTATTGTGAGACTGTCCTGTGCATTGTAGGATGTTTAGAATTCCTAGCCCTTATCCTCTAGAAGCCTGTTATGGTTTGGATCTGGAATGTTTCCTGAAGGTTGCTCTCCAGTTACTGGCACTATTGGGAGGTGGTAGTAGTAGGAGTGGGACCTAGTTAAGTAGGTCACTGGGAGTGTTTTCCTGAAGATTAAATCTTATCTCAGGCCCCTTCCTCTTACTTTTGCTCCTTTGCCACCATGAGTGGTCACTTCTAGTAATGGCTTTCCCCAGGGAGAGGGGATTAGCATGAAGACAGGATGAGATTAATTCTCCCAGGAAAACTACAGAGTACATCTATAAATAATTACAATAAAGTAGCTTCCATATCAGGGTGGTAAACAGGGTGATGAAGTAGCACTGGAGTTCTGCTTTGTATGTGGCTATTTGCTCAGAGCTAGCTATATATATTTAGAGATTCAGCTTTCATTTTTTGAACTCAATATAAACATATCCTGCTTATAAATTTGATACAAGCTAAAAATGTGACTTTAGGAAAAATGGGGCCAGAGGGGTTTATGTTATTACAGTGCAGAGAGCTGTGGCATCACCCATCCCTATCAGATTGCTAGGGAAGGTTACCATACTTGAAACCTGTTCTTTACTGCTGTCCTTAAAGGTATGGACAGGTGAGCCAAAGTGGGGTACTAAGAGTTCAGAAACTAGAATCAGCCTGTCTGGGTTTGATGTCTGTTTTTGATAGCCAGCTATGTGACTTTGGGTAATTTATCTGAGTTTCAGTTCCCTCATCTGTACAACTACTCAAAGAATTGTGGGGATTAAATGAAAATGCATGTAACCTGCTTAACATCACACCCAGCATGTGGAATATATTTCATAAATGTTAGTTATTATTTATTTATATGCGGTGCTGAGGATTGAACCTAGGGCCTCACAGATGCCAGGCAAGTACTCTACCACTGAGCCACAACCGTAGATCCTCACAATTCTTACTTTGGAAAGATAGAAAATAACTGCTTAGGACTTTTATATTCTCCAAGAAATTACTACTATAACACAATGATAATAAAACAGTGACCTTTATTGAGAACTTTCAAGCATTAAAACTTGATGAAGTATTTTTCAATTTAGTTTATCAAAATACTTCAGTTTTCCAGCTGGATCTGGGATTATCTGTTAAGACAAAACAAAAAAAGCAAATTATTCCTTTTAAAAGTCATAGTCTGACATTAGTTTCCTATCTCTTGACTGAAGATAAAAAATTACATTTGTATACCAAATTGTATCATATATACTCTTAAGAAAAACTAGATATGTCCTACCTACTAACCTCTCAGCTATCCCAAAAAGTAAAACATTTATTTTTTAAAAATAAATTAACATCTGTACTCAAGTACCCCAAAATTTACTTACAGCTCTTCTCTTGGCCACCAGGCTTTCATGGCATCTTCAGGTTTGATCTAGTTAAATCAAACACATTGAGAGCATGGCTACAGATGTTAATGTATTTTTAAAACTGTTTGCTGATTAAATGATGATATGCTATGATAACTTGAAAAGGGGGTAGTGTGTTCATTATGGGTTTATCAAGAGAATTTTTGGGAGCTCCACAATGCAACTTTTTAATCTCAAGCTACAAAGTAAAAAAACAAAACAAAGATTCAAAACAATATCAATTATTACCTTCAATAATTATTTTAGTGAATGAGTACTCTGAAAGAAAAATGCTCCTTCCAAAAGCATGATAGACATAAGAACTTATACTTAATTTTTTCCAATATAATTTGATCTCACATTAACTATGTTACTTGTTGGTTAAAGTACATCTACCTTTGCATATAAGAATAATCTATGGTAATTGCTATAATTAACAGATTTTGAATCAGTTTTTAATAAATCTGCAAAACAGTTTTGCCTTTGAGATCAAAGTTAATATTACAATACCAACTGAGTCATCTCTACATAGATCTGATGGATCTTAAAGGGGATTTGAAGTTATGCACTAAAGGTACATTGAGTACTAGGTTCTTTATAAATTAAGTCACAAGTTAGTTTATATTTATAGATTATGGAAGCTTACAGATAGAAATATGAATCAGAAACTGCTGTCTTAAAAACTAGCTTACAAAGCATTTGTTGGATAAGTAGTAAAGGTAGGGGACATTTCCCTCTGAAGTTATATCAAAACCAACTGTGAATGATAAATGATATCACTACCAAGCACAGGCATGTGCTAAGTATCCAACTCCTGAGAGATCAGTGAGAACTGCCAAGAAGTACAAATTAACTATGAACGGCATTACAGGATGAGTATTATACATTTCAGAAAACACACTAACTATACACTAACTATCTACTTGATAACTATTAGGGGTCACAAGCCCCTTTGAGAATCAAACTATGAATTATTCCTTCAGAAAAATACACAGATATTATCACATACTTTGTTTTTATTCTTAATTGACAAAATAATAATTGTATATATTTATGGGTTTGGTCATTCTTTCAACACACATATACTGAACACCTGCTATATGATAACTATTCAAACTATTACTATAACTAGATAGTACTTATTAGTGAACCCTTGGAGTTATAGTCTAATTCTAATTTTAGATTGTGGCAAATGCTTAAAAACATGGGGTGGAGATAGTGGTAAGGAAAGAATTTCAAGATGATATTTGAACTGAAATGTGAGTGAGAGAGGGAGCCAGTAATACAGAAAGCAATACAGAAGGAACAGCAAGGGCAAAGGCCCTGAGGCAGGAATTAGCTTAGCATGTTCAAGGAACAGAAAAGGGCACACCTGAAATTAAAGAGTAAATTACTCCTTCTGAATGTTTATGGATAATGGTACCTTTCTTTTTGGATTGCCAAGGAATTAAGTCTTAGAAATTTATATTTTTCTATTCTAAAATAATGATTTCTTCCTCCAATGTGCTAGTATTTTTAAATTTCCTAACTACAGTTTGTATAAAACACTTGATTTTTAGAAGATAAAACTCAAAGATTTTTGGCTGTTACTTAAGCAAGGTTTCAAGCAAGTTTCTAAATGTATTTTGAATACGTATCTACAAATTATGTAGTCTCCCTGATGAAAGAATGTACTGGTTTCAATCTTTTTCTTCTTCAAATGATATGGAGATAATCATTAGTTTCACTGTTTATTAGATCAGATTTTCTCAAAGGCTTTTTATTATACACAGAAAGGTCTTGCCTGTAATTGTTTCTCGGCTCATAATATAGGAAGAATTTTATACACACCCTCTAAATTTATTCTACTAAGTCTCTGTTTTTCCCCCTGGAATAGTGTATTTCTTGGATACTTAGCTTTAAAATTCACAATATTAAACCCCATATTCTGCTTTCTTTAGTTTCAATTACTCTTCCTATAGTCCAGAGAATGTCTGTACTTTGTGATTTGTGCTTAGCTTGCTTCATTTATGAAGCCAAAACAGTTCTACTACAAGGCAATTTTTTGGCTCCAGCCATGCCTGTAACAGAAAAATCAACATGACTTACTGTTTCACTACCAGGTTTCCAGCCAGCGGGGCAGACTAAAAGGAACAAAAATGGGCAAAAGACAGTTTAAAAATAGAATTTAGTGTTTTTAAAAGCAACTCCTGAATTTGTTTTCATATGAAACTGAAATTACAGAATATATAAATAACAACATTTCTAGACCACCAAACACTTGACTTCTGTTAGCTTGCCTGAACACACTAAGGAATTTTAATCATGGAGATTATCAATTTAGTTACATTTGTAATATAAGAAACTAAACTAAAGGTATCTAATAAAGTTGAAAAGTTTGCAAATCTGATCAACTGAAAAGCCTGGGCATAGCAAAAATTTCTCTGACTCTTCATAAATTTCCACTAAATTTGTCTGCCCTTGTAATCTATGTCAAGAGACTTTAGAATGCACCCTGACTGCTGGGTATGGTGGTGCACACATGTAATTCCAGCTTCTTGGGAGACTGAGGCATGAGGATCAAACATTTGAGGCAGCCCGGGCAATAAGAAAAAGAGCTGGGGAGCTGGGGATGCAGCTCAGTGGCACAGTGCTTCCCTTCCATTTTGCTACTGGTGAAACTTGGAGTTAAAGAATGAACTGATAGCTTACCAGTATGATACTAAATAATTCTGAGGAGTATATTATAGATAAACCCATCCAGTGTGTGGTACATGCATGTAATCCCAGTTACTTGGGAGGCTGAGATGGGAGGAATGCAAATTCGGACTAGCCTCAGCAATTTAGCGAGGCCCTCAGCAACTTAGTGAGACTTTGCCTTGAAATAAAAAATAAAAAGGGGTGGGGATATATGGTTTAGTGGTAAAATGCCTGGGTTAAATGCCCAGTATCCAAAAAATGTTAAATCCAGTCACATGTGGTAGTGCACAACTGTAATCTCAGCTACTTTGGGAGGCTGAGGAAGGAGGACTGCAATTTGGAGGTTAGCCTCAGCAACTCAGCCAGACCCTGCCTCACAAAACAAGAAAACAAAAGGTTGAGTATGTAGCTCAATGGTAGAGAACCCCTGGTTTTAATCTCCAGTACTGAAATGCAAATACAAACACAAACAAAAACCAAACAAACAAAAAACCCCTAAATCCAATAATATAAAGAAAACCTATATTACAAAATATTGCCATGTTGACACTTGACACATTTTAAGGTTATAGAAACATAATTTGAAAAATTGCAGTAGCAGAAACCTTTTCTGAGTTTATTAAAAAATATGTAAATACATGTGTATATACATATATTCCTCAGTCCTTTTAATTTTGAAACAGGTGTCACTAAGTTGCTGAGGTTGGCTTTGAACTTGTGATCCTCCTGCCTCAGCCTCCTAAACCACTGGGATTTCAGGTGTGTGTCACTGTGCCTAGCCAAATAATGAATATTTTTGCATCTGTATAATTAAGCAAAATATACTAGTGATATTTTGTTAAAAGTAGTAAATAATTTGTTTTGCTAAAAGAACCTAATAAATTGAAAACACTCAGAATACTTTGGAACCACCCAAATAAGTTTTAGGATAAGAAATCAAACTAACTATGTTGCTATCTCACATTAAAAGAATCAAAAGTTTAGAAAGTACCTTCTCCATGTTTGTCAGTATACTGGAATGCTTGAACCAAACGTAGGGTCTCATCCACTGATCTACCCACAGGAAGGTCATTCAGAGTAATCTGTCTCAGGATTCCTTTGTCATCAATAATAAAGAGGCCTCTATGAAAGACAAGAGCGATAGGGGTAAGACCATTTCTTTTCAGTTAAGTATTAGTTAATGTGAATCCTTGTACCATCCACATAGAAGGAAGCTATACAGACCCCAAAATACACTACCTATTCACTACACTACTGGTATACTCTCTCGCTCACCCCTACACACTTTCCCTCATCTACTATATAATTTGGGATTGTCAATGTTAAATGATAGTTTTAAAAATTTGCTTTTGAGGGCTGGGGTTGTGGCTCAGTGGTGGAGTGCTCGCCTAGCATGTGTGAGACCCTGGGTTCAATCCTCAGCACCACATAAAAATAAGTAAAATAAAGTTATTGTGTCCAACTACAACTAAAAAAATAAATGTTTTTTTAAAAAATTTGCTTTTGACTTTGAAATGTAATAGTTAGAAATAAATAATAAAAAAGAAATGATACAAATAAAATAGCTAATACGGTATTAGATCATTTTACTTCAATGTTCAAATAATCCTAAATGTTAAAACTCTCAGTCTTTAGCAGCATAGTTACTCTTTGGGAGTCAACTTAATAATAGATTTTATGAAAGCAGAAAACATTAAGGATTTGGCAAGTACAAAAATGAGAGAAACCACCTGTAGCAATACATACTATGAACATTGAAAACAGTATGCCAAGTGAAAGAGGGTAGTCAAAGGGCATATATTGTAGGATTCCATTTATATGAAGTATTCAGAATAAGAAGTAAAAGACAAAGTATATTAGTGCTTGCCTAGGGCTCAGGGAAGGAGGTTGGAGGAATTAGGGAGGGACTGCTAATGGGTATAGGGCTTCTTTTCAGAGTAATGAAAATGTTCTAAAATTGTGGTGATGGTTGCAAAACTCTGAATATACTAAAACCTACTTGATTGTATACTTTTTAAAGCTGTTATAAAAACAGGACTTAAGGGCTGAGGCTGTAGCTCAGTGGCAGAGCACTTGCCTTGCATGTGTGAGGCACTGGGTTTGATCCTTAGCATCACATAAAAATAAATAAATAAAACAAAGGCATTCTGGGGCTGGGATTGTAGCTCAATGGTAGAGTGTCTGCCTTGAATGTGTGAGGCAATGGGTTCAATCCTCAGCACCACATAAAAATAAATAAATATATCGTGTCCATCTACAACTACAAAATATTTTAAAAAATAAAGGCATTCTATCTACAACTACAAAAAAATTAAAAAAAACAGGATTTAAAATACCTTTCCACATAAAATATTAAAAAACAATTAACACTGCAAAGCAAATAAGAAAGTTAATTACAACAAAACTACATCTGTTCTTTAGGCCAAAATTGATGTTTTTCGTAGAATTCTATTAGCATTTGTTAGCTGAAGTAACCCACTGAGAGCTACTGGGTAAGATACTGCCTTAGTTTTTCCCATTCTAAAGACACAGATTTGCTAATTAACTATATTTGTACTTAGAAAACAAATTACTAGAGTCAGTTTGTAAAAAAGGAAAAGAGAAATGGGTAAGGAGTGGGGGACATGGATTCAAGCCTGGGCTCTGCAATTAACTAATTATATAACTTTGGTTAAGATCATGGAACTCTATGAATCTGTCTTTTTTATTAATAATAAGGGTTGGTCAAATATCTCTACATAAACTGCCATCTCTACCAGCATATGCACTATAATAGTTAAGGGTATCTACAACATTTCTACAAATAGAACAAAATAATATTACTTGATCAAAGTTTATATCTTCTAACTTGTAAAAAAACATCAATTTCCAGAGGATTATAAATGTACTTGGATTTTTCTTAATATAAGCTACCTAAGAGTGTGGCCAGAGTCCTCCAGATATACACCATAGTCCTTTGCGATCTGATGGTTCAAGTCTGAAAGAAGTGGAAATCTTATTGATCCAAGTCCTCCTTGCTTTCGAGGGGTATTAATCCTGCAACAAACAGAACATTTACCTCTTAGAGCTAAGCAAATGACATAACTAAAACAGTGAACATTCTTTCTCTGCATATGCATGTGCACACATACATATATTCTCTCTCTAAAACAGGCTAATATACTTTGTTTTCTTGCCTTTTTCCTCAATATATTCATATCCTTTAAGCACTAAATATAGACATATAAAACACATTTTTAATGTATGGTCATGCTGTATTTTATACATCTCTATTGACATTAGACTGGATTTTTTTTATTAAACATTGCTGGAAACGTCCTTGTAGTCTATCATTTCTGTACACTTGTCTGATAAGTAGAACAGATAGACCAAAGGATATGCACTGTCATAAGCATAACCATTGAACTGATTCCTTAGAATCAAGGAAGTCAGTCATAATATCAGATACATCAATACCCAGATTTAAATATTCCGTAACCTGAAATCACAGGGCTTATGTGCTGGTGTCCCAATAGGAAGACATATAGAATGACATAACTTTTTCATTGTGGACATGACTTTTAATCCTAGAAGATTTAGAATCATTAAACTGTTGAAACAAATAAGCCTGTAGATATTACAAAATAATCAGGCTGGGGATATGGCTCAGTGGTAGAGCGCTTGCCTAGCATGTTCAAGACCTTGGGATCAATCCCCAGCACTATTTAAAAAAAAAGAAATAATCAGTATATATTTGAGTATTAAGCTCTGTATAATATTTAAAAGAATTTGTCATATTAGCATTACTTATTTGAGGTTTGTCTGAAAGCAGATACTTGAGAAAATATATTAAATATGTATCTGCATTTTAAAATAACTCAAGGGGAGTTATTGTAGCTCTCTAACCAATTAAAATTTGTTATACATATATACTCATACACATATATGTGATAAATGTGTGTATACAAATAAAATTGTAAGTGGAGAAAAACTTCTGTTTGAATTTGTAACTTTAAGTTTTAAAACTTAAAAAAATTCTGAATGATTTTTATTATACACAAAATTCTGAACTCAAAATTGTGGACCTTAAAAACCCACATCATGTTTCAAATTTGAGACATGTTGCCAAACTGCTCTCCAGAAATGAATTGACTGTGTGAGTGCCATTTCTGCACACCTTTGTCAACAATGCATGAATTTTTTTCAATCTGTTAAATACTGGCCAGTCAGACCGAAAGAAATGTCATCATTTGTTATTTTAATTTGCAGTTCTTTGCAGTTAGTTAGGTAGAACATCCTTTCATGATTAATGCATTTTAAAAATTACTTTGTAAAATTTTAAAAAATTATTACTTCTTTTTTTAAATATATTTTTTAGTTGTAGGTGGACACATACCTTTATTTTATTTTTATGAAGTGCTGAGGATTGAACCCAGTGCCTCACACTGAGCCACAGTCCCAAATTATTGCTTCTTAAAAATTATAAAAAGCTATTGGGAGTTTGACCTACCATAACAGAGGACTGGTTAAAAGAAAAGTGGCATATTTTAAAGATTTTATTTCTCTAGATTAAGGTTACCCAATTGATCAAGACAAAGCAATTATACAATCTAGTAGTTTTTGCTGTGGAAATCATAACTATTACTATTAATCATAACTATTATTATTATTCATAATTTTGAAGTGTCCTATACAATTCTTAAGCATTTTTACAAGAACTTCATGGAACTAGTAACTCACTGTATTATGCAGATAAATCTATTCCTGAAAAATATCTGATAAATATTTATCATATATCTGTAATACCTAATAAGTATTTATCCATATCTGATAAATGGCATGATATCATGTTAGCAGTTATCTGCCCTTGATTTAAATCCATTCTTTCTTCCTACAAATATAAGTGCAAAATACTCACCAGGCCAAATGGGTAAACTGTGAATCAACAGAACATGCCACCACTTCAGTATTTATAGCTCTAAATTCATCAATTCTATCACCAAAGGCGATGATTTCAGTTGGACACACAAATGTGCTGAAAGTTAAAAAAATATAATTTAGTATTCTCAAAATAACCATATACCTGAATTTTCACATGACAATTTCTACAAACACCTTTACTAAATAAAAATGCACTTTAAGAACAATTTCATACATGGGTCTTCTCAAGATGAAATAGTCCAAAAGATTTTCCATTTCATCAAATATTTAATAAATATATATCACAGGGTTCATAATTACATCTCAAACTTTCTTCTTATAACTCAATGGCTCAGTGATCAACCAATATTCCATTCTCACTTATAGCAGCACTCCAATTTCATTACTTTTTATTTAATAATAATTTGTATTTATTATAGCTTCCAAGATATCTATACAAATTTTACATCATTTCATTATTGTTTTTTTACATTCCTAAACCAAACTATGAGTCAGATGCATCTACTGTATTCTGTAGATGAGGCAATGTTCTCTAGTTTCCCTGATCCCTTTGAGACAGGTCTTCTTCCACCTTGTCTCCCAGTCCTGCAGAGCCAGGGATTTCACACCTTAATTCTGTCATGGGTGAGAAGTGCATGATTAGAAAATATTACCTAAGGTAGTATTTTTCCAACTGTGGTAGGGACTCCTTAATCTAATTTAGTGAGTTCTAATAAACATTAAAAAAGTGAAATAAATCAGTAAATATGGGAATACATCATTCACAGTAAGGGTAAGTTAGAAAACATATACATGTTTATATAAATGCATAAATATGTCTGTGTTCAGCAGTGACATTCAAAATATTTAACAACCTTAACTTGGAGCTGGCTTTAGCTTTGAAATTTTCTGAATGAGATCAGGTGGAAAGGTCAACTTGGGAAGGAGGTTGGGCAAGTGGCTATTTACCACTTAGTATGGAAGTCTTTCAATGTTTTAACAACAAGCATGGCTATGCTGGTGTATATAGACTGAGTGTTACTCTATATATGTATGTATTGGGTGGTAATGAAAAATATATTGCTGTGTGTCATGGCCAAAAGTTTGGAAAACACAGACTCAGGACAAGTTTCTAACTGAACCCAGTATGGGATTTTAAAATGTTTCAGTTGTTTAGGCATAGTGCTTCCCTGTGAAAGAAGTCAGTTCTAATCTAGGATTATGTCCCTGGAAACCTGGGCAGTATTATGTATTTTTAATATTATCTAAAAGGTAACCCCTCTTCGCCTTCCTTCCTATCATCCCAAGAAATACTACCTAGAAACACATTTTCCTTAGTTCTTAGTGAAGACAGAAAAAAAAACAAAAAACAAAAAAACAAAAAACACCCTGGTACAGACTGACTTTCCTCCTGCCATATAGACTATGGCAAATGCCCCAGAAAGCTTCCTTTTCTGACTAGGTCCAGACTGGCATTACACAGAAACAAAAGGAAGAAGCTATCTTAGCTCCTTACCCCAGAAGACCATTGTGAATATTATCTGTAATGAGGTATGCTTTATTTATTATGGAGTTTTAAATAACACTAGGGAAACAAAGCATATATAAGACATATCTCAAAATTCAGGGTTAATATTTTATACATTTAACATGTATATTAGCTTTCTGGCTTTATAACAACTTAAATTTAGAAGGTCTATCATTTTTTATATTTATTAATATTTCTAATTCTGGTCTCTGTGGAAAGTTACCTTATTCTTTTTAGCTAGCTGTACAAATTGATTAGAAAGATAACTCATTTTAGTCATAATGTACTAATTTTTATGAGAATTCTTCCTATTTGGCTTTGTGTAGGGGTTGGGAAACTGGTCCACAGGCCAAATCCAGCTTTTCTCAATGCAGCAGAGCAACAGTTCTGCAGTTGAGCACTGGGATTATCAAAAGGCTAAAATATTTAGTATTTAAAATTTAAAGAAAAATTTGCTGGACTTTGGCTAGAAAAAAATCTGTAGAAATGAGTTTAAGTGTACTCTTTCTGAAAGTTATTTTTTTGTGGTGCTGGGGCTCTGTGCTTATGAGGTAAGTGCTCTACCACTGAGCTACACCCCCAACCCAAGTTTAATTTTCATTTACATAATTCACATTAGTCCTAATGGAAAAAGGCACAATGGCAAAGATAGAGGAGTATTTTACTTTTTGTAACCAAAAAATAAATTCAGGTTAAAAAAACGATCGAGGTTGGGATAACTCTCTGGTTTCTTTTGACTTTCATGGGATTTGAATAATACTCAAGATTAGTAGTTTTCAAATTAAAGGTCTTGATGAGAATAGAACTACAAGAGTATTTACTTGAAGTCAATTTTCTGATCATTCACAAACATTACCATAGAGTTATAGAAAAAAATCCTATAAGAACCATAACATATTAATAGCTATTATATTAATATTTTCAGACAAGTGTTCAAATCACAGGAAAGGAACAGATACAGCAACGAATAAAAATGGTAAAACCATTAAGCAGAATTATGGCATGACTCTTGTTACTAACTGCCTTCTAAAATATTATCAGTCCACGTTCTTGCCATAATATATGTAGCTTAATGAATATATTGCAGCTTTTCTCTATTCCATTATGAAAATACTATATAGGTATATGTGAGTAAAAATTTATTTAGGAAAATGGATTATGACTGAAATGTAGATGTTATCTTTTTGAATAAATTCCTCAATTGGCTTATTTTTAAAAGAACCAACAGCTAAAAAAATTCTTAGTTGATGTTCTTGAATGATGAATGGTTGACTATTTTTACTAGTTGCTATTTACAAGTTATTACTTACAAATCAAGTGGGTAGAAGAAAAAGACCAAGTATTTTCCACGAAAATCTGTTAATTTGAGCTCCTTAAATTCTCCATTTATCACTGCTGTTCCTTCCCAATAAGGTGCTGGCTTGGAAACTAAGAAAGAAAGAAAGAAAGAAAAAAAACATGATATTTTATAAAACAGAAAGCTGACAGAATGGCAAATGGATGTCTTTAGAAAAATCCTTAAAAATTAGAGCTTCTAAACCTTTGGACTTCATTGACAGTCTGGTGAAGCTTACAGACTTCTTACAACTTAGAGTTACTGACTATGTAAAATACATAGAATTGTAAAGAAAACCAATTACAGTGAAATGCAACTATCAAAATATTTAAAAATTGGTTATATAGTAATACATGTGCTATTTTATCTTAAGCTACAAGTCTGAAAGAGATCTAATGACTACCTAATGATAAAATAATGAATGTAAATGTTTTAGGATTCCTGTAATAACCATAACATAGCATGAAAATATCTGATTACATTGACAGCAGTTACAAGCAAGTACTGCTGATGGTAATGTGGTTTGTTGCTGACATCCATAATGGGAGGAAATGCTAAATTTTAGTTGGGAGGTTAAGGAAAATAAACCATTTTTTTTCTACATTTCATCCCTGCACTATATCTTACTGGATATTTCACCATAACTTCCCCCCACAACGTTATCAACTTCCTAAATTCAAATCATTAGATTTTCTTTCCTCTAATGGCAGTCTTTCAGATGTACTAATTTAGTTTGTCCAGCTTCTCAGATACACAGGGAGGATCTGCTGCAGGCAGGGCTACACTCAAGGAGGAGAAATATTCAAATATATCAGGCCAGAAGTGGACAACCCCAGACAATGGGATAATTTTCCTAGAGGACTTTGGAAAAAAAGACCTCCTTGAACAGGTTTCAAGTGGCCTGATGGAAACTGGTTAGTGCCACTCTCTTGTAACAGCATACTGTAACTCTAGCCAACACCCTTTGATAATAATGTACCTTCATATGGATAGCACTCATACTTTGAGAATCATCACATAAAATGAAGTCAATATTTGATTTTCCAAGTTTGACTAAAATTTCTAGAAATAAGACTTAGACCTTTGTATAACACTGAGCATTTATGGTTACTCTGAAATGAGACAAACTGAAGATTAATGTCTCTGTGAAGTTAACATATAACATTCGATTATTTACCTTGAGCCAGCAGCCTATCTTATTTAATAATCCTGATCTGATTAGGTAAAGGCCAGAAGGGAGAATTAGCTAGAACTATATTTGCTTATATACATTACTTAAATTACCACTCAAGTGAGAGGTTATGATAATTCTAATGATGTATCACAGTGACACTCCTTAAAGATTTTAGAATATTGGGAAAATCATATTGGGAAAATGTTTTTTGTCTGAAAATTGATTTTGGAAATTTTGCTTTTTTACTAAAATCTACAAATGGAATTTCCAGAATAACTCTTTGCATCTATTAAAAACAATTAAAATATCCTGAATATAAATTATATAATTTACAAGTATTTTAGTTAAATGCAGAGAAGTATAAAGAATATATAACCAGGCATGGTGATTCATTCATGTAATCCCAGAAACTTGAGAGGCTAAGGCAGGAGGATGATGAATTCAAAGTCAGCCTCAGCAATTTAGCAAGGTTTTAAATAACCTAGTGAGATCCCGTCTCAAAATAAAAAGGGCTGGGGATATGGCTCAGTTGTTATGTGCCCCTGGGTTCAATCCCTGGTAACAAAACCAAAAAATATTTTAATTCCCTCTCTCCATAACCCTATCAACCTAACTACTGTTAACATTTTGATGTCTTACCTTCCAGTATTTTTAAAAACAAATTTGGATCATGTTGTGTTGTACCCCCTATTTCTCCCCATTCATGAAAGGAAACAGTAAGTTATGAAGTTTTTGTTACTAAAAGTAATATTAAAATATGACCTTAAAAATATCCATAATATATCCCTTTTTATGAATAAAAGTCCTTTATCTCTAATTCTAGATAATTCTACACAGGACCCAGAAATATAAAAATACATATAATTTGAAAATGTTTGCTGGTAAAGGGAAAGCTATTACTACTATTTTTTTTTTTTTTGCTTCCATAAGCGGCTTTAGAGTGGATTTGGATTTGTTTTCTATGGACAATATATGTACTGTAAGTAAACACTTAATTGCCTGACATATTTCAAAACGTCTTCCCACGCAAGTGACACCAATGGGACTTGAAAATATGATTTTAAAAGTGCAAGACTGGCTTTCTAGAAACAAAAATCCCAAAGTATTTAACTTTCAGTATGAAAGAAGTACAAATGTTTAAGAAGGCAAAACAGTTTTTCTCATTTATCAATTACTCCCACTCCATCCTCAGTCCTAAAAACATCCCATTTATCTCCGGGATTCACAACTGTAAAGCATTACTTTTTTTGCCAAAGAACATACTGTAGCAACCACAAAAACCAAATACACACCTACAGAATGTCAAATGATCCGTAGGAAAAGGAGGTTACTTGAAAAGCAAGTAAAAGATATCAGTATCCCCAGGATACTTCTTTTTGGCTAATCTTAATGTCCAGATGCAGCAGGCCCCAACTTTCTGAGTTATCTACTTAGTCTGACGTGTCCTTCCTGAAAGTGTCCGTTAGCTTTGTACACAGGACAGAAATGCAAATAATCAAAAGCCAAATTGGCAGGACACAAATTTGCCTCGAGATTTATAGTGAACTCAAATGTGTTACTTCCAACCTTCTTTTCCCTCCTTCTTCCTCCAAAGTACAAACTATAACAGTTCTTTTCTGAGAAACACGAACAATACCCATGAACTGACTACGTGGCTTTCCGGGGAGATGATTTTTAATAATCTTCTTTGTAAGATACAACAGCAAAAGATAAAGGGAGAAAAATGAAATATCTGACCTTCTGAACACTTTGTTTAGCCACTTTTCTGTTTGACTAAACTTTCTGTGAATCATTATTCAGCCTATCAATGTACTTTTCCCCTGAAACAGTACTTGAAAAGAGACTGGACATGCTGCAGGCACTTTACGATGTTTGAGGAAGTGTTTTAGTTTGCACAATATCCTCAAGTCCCCCTTTGGGCCACCCTCTTTCCCTCATCTGCGGCTTTTGGGGTAACCACTATCTCTTCCAAAATCTCATCGGTGGAAAAAATCCCTTTCTCCACAACTGGCACACCCCTTCAACTTCCTGCCCAAGGAGAGGAACAGACAGATCCTGGATCCAGGGCCCCGACACTGTCCAGGGGGTGCCGCCCAACTTTAGACCGCCCCCCCAACCACGGGGTAGCATCTGTAGGCAGGGTACACGTGTCTTTGGGCTCTCCCCATACCCACTCCTACCCTTGAAAGCACCACCTACTCTTGGCTTTGGTTAGGTGCAGGGAGTGGTCTGCGACTGATACCCGGGACGCCTCCCCGGGATACACTTGTCCACCAGCGTAGAAGTGGCACTCTTTTTCGCGGGTCCGGGGCCTCTCCGTCTCCAAGCCCCTCAGAGCCCCGATCGGCAGCAGGAACAGCACCACCGGCAGCAGAAGCAGCTTTCGGCTCCATCTAGGAGCCGGAGACCTCGCGGCTACAAGCCGCGGCGGCAGCACCTCCATAACCAAGCGAGCGAAAAATCACGTCTCTCAGCTCGAGTGCCGCTTCTCCCGCCGCTGGCAGTTACAACCGCGTGCACAGCACCCGCGCGAGTTAGGGCGCGGCCTCGCGAGACTTGCTCCGCCCCACTCCGCCCCACTCCGCCCCCCCCCGCCACGTGGGCGCTGACCCCGCCTCTCGCCCCCCAGCCTTTGTGCACGCGCTTTGGGGCGGGCCCGGGAGAGCGTTGTCAATTATGCTAAGGCTGCCTCTAGGCGGCGGTTGACTGGCCTTACCAGGGTCTCGCTGTTAGCTATTTTAGACACACTTCCATGCCCATCTCTTCTACAGGTCCTCACCATTGCACACTGTCCATTCAAAGGTTGAAACGAAGCTACATGCCTGTAAACGGCTTGCATTTTATATTTCTAATGGACTTTTTAAAAAGTCACTTATAATTTCAATTGACAAATTGAAATTGGGTATAATTTGGAATGACTGAATTAAACAAATGCATAAATACACATATTCATCCCCTCATTTACCTTTTATTTTTGTGGTGAAACATTTAAAATTTACTGTCCCCCCCCCCCTCTGAGGTACTGGGGATGGAATCCAAGGGTGCTTAAGTACTGAGCCACATCCCCAGCCCTTTTTAATATTTTAGAGACAAGGTCTCCCTGAGTTGTTTAGGGCCTCGCTAAATTGTTGAGGCTGGCTTAGAACTCGCGATCCTCCTGTCAGCCTCCGGAGCCGCTCGGATTACAGGAATGCACCACTGAGCCCCGCATACTCTGCTGCTTTGAAGTACACATTATCATTGTTTGTGTTTACATGCTGGTTACCAGAGACTTGGGTGGGTGAAGGATGTAAGGGCATACAGGTGAAAGAGTACAAAGTTTCAGATAGGAAGAAAAAGTTTTGAGATCTAACAGACATTTTCTTGTTTTCCTTGAAGTGATTTGTGTGAACAGTGTCATAACTCTCCCCTGCAGCTCTTTTAAATCCTGGGAAAACTTGAAGGAGATAAATCTAACCATTTACTTTCCTTCAGCAGATAAGGACAGGCAGTTTTTGATGACTTAATCTTGTCTCAAAAATGTCTTTCTTTTTAAAATCAAGACTGGAAAATTTCCCAGAACAGCCCTTTTCCCAGCACAGCTTCTGACAATTACCCCATTACCCACCCTTGGCCTCTCTCCCACCCTCCTCACCCACCAACGATTCCCCCGCTGCAAACTCCACCCTCCACCTAATGTTTGCGTCTGTGCTCTGGGGGCAGGCACAGGCTCTGCAGATTTGTTGCGTCACCTTGTGACGGCTCTCCCACCATCTCGCTCTCCCTCCATCTCACTCTCTCATTCATTCTCCCACCCTCAGCACTTTCTAGGCCCCTCTTTTCCACAAAAATTTGCTGGTGAGTCATTGTTGTGACTGGCCTCCCACTATCCGCACTGTTAGTCAACATTTACTCTTCTACACCTTTCTCTTCCTACCAGACTTGGCCGGTGACTGGCTTCCCACCTTTAAGGTGATCCATCTCCAGTGTCAGGCCCTCAGTATTGTGTTAGACCCTCTCATTCTTTCACAAAGCCTCCCCATTGCAACACGGTTCCACTCCATGCATCATGGATCTTGAATGGCTTGCATTGTATTCCTCTAATAGATATTTCTTCTTCTTTACTTTGCAGTGATCTGACTAAGCAGTGCCATGATTCTTCTCTCTAGTCATAGCCCTTTTCAATCCAGGGAAAATTTGGAGGGAAAAAAGGGCTAACCTGAAAAGCAATATCTCTAGACCATTTCTTCTCTTCTGGAAGCAAAGAAACTACAGAGCAAACAGGCAGTTTTGTGACATAAGCTGTCTCAGGTGTGTATTTTTTTTTTAACATTAAAACTTGGCCTGGGGGGGGGGCGTGTAGCTCAGTGGTAGAGAGCATTACCACCAAGAAGTAGGTTCGGTGTCCAGCAGCAAAACAAAAGTAAAACTTGAAAAATTCCAGAAAAGTTCCCAGGACTCCTTGGTTTCATCTTCTAGCATTTAATCCATCAGCCAACAGTTGGCTGGGATGGAAGGTGAGGACAGGGGGAAAAGAAACAGCATATACCATAAGGAGGGGAGCCATCAGCAACATTTATGTCTTTAGGGCTCCATTTGTCATCTTTCTGAAACCCACAAAAGAGTTTGTCTTCTATTAAAGTATGAGCTCCTTGAGGCCAAAGTCAACATTGATTTGGTCATTGTTTCCCAAAGGACTGGTACAGAGTAAGCATTTGATATTGTAAGCACTTATTTTGCAAATAACTTCTAATATTCCAAACAGTCTATTAGTTTCAACTTGCTTTCAAATATATTGACAGTCCTTTGAGGCAGATGGAAAATCTGCCCTTTCCAAATTCATCCCTTGCCCAGTTTCTGCCCCTGGTATGCTCTGCTTTCTGCTTCATGGCCCTGTTTCCCGCCAGCAAAGGAGGAAAAAGATGAAGGCAGGGCCCCTGGTGCTGAGGGAGGGAGAGGATGTACTTACTCATAACATTTTCTGGCAGTTCTTCGCTTTCTGGGGGTGCACAGATAGGAGCCCTCTGACGAGGTAGCTCACGCTCCCATTCTTCTCCTTCCCTGGCCTCCTGTTCCACATACAAGGGAAGTGATGCCCGGGGGGCTCGGACCTGGGTCCCAGCAATTCGGTTCAGGCCTATGCTCCGTGGTCGGCCTCGGTGATCCATGGTGACTGTTGGACAGTCACAAGCCTTAGTGAATTCTAGGCCCTGAGTTTACTCCTGGGAATTCCTTGGAACACTTGGGGAGAACGTTATCTCCCTATACCTCTTTGCCCTGGGCTCAGCGGAGATGCTCCAATTGGTAGCAGGAATTACCCACCAAGTGGGCCCTAGTGAACCCTCTGCCCACTGGGGAGAGTGACCAGGTTGGCCAGCTCCCTGATACCTACTCCATGTCCCATTGGAACCCCTTGGAAGCCAACATTCTGGCAGTTGCTCTGAACCCTTTCATCCAATAAAATTTGGGCAGGCATTGTGTTGTCACAGGAACATCTATAGGAAGCTTGAGGTAGGGGCCTTGCCTTCAAGGCACTTACCATCTAGCTGGAGTCAGTTACCCAGAATAATAATAATACAAACCCTTTAGACACAGGGGTGGCTGTAAACCCAGGGTATACCTCAGACACACCTGAGGCATTTAAAAATAGTCAAATGCTGGAACTTATAGCCCCAGCAATGTAATTTAACAGATACTTGGGAGCCCTCAGGCATCTTTGGTTTCACAAATGGGCATATCTGGTTAAGTACCACCACTGATGGCAGTTATGAGCATAGGTTGTGAGGTCAGCATTTCTAGGTTCAAATCTGAGTTCTATCACTTGTTGGCCTTGTGAAATGTATTTAACCTCCCTGAGCCTCTGTTTCTTCATCCGCACAGGGAAGGCATTAATACTTTCTCCCCATGTTGTGAAACTGAAATGATAGGATAAATGTAAAAGCCTAACTTTGAATGCAGGCCAGATTTAGAAATTCACTTCTAATGAATATGGCAGAAGTAATGTTTTTTGACTTCTGAGACTAGGTCATAACTTATGCTTAGGTCACTCTTTCTGGAGGAAGACTTTTTGTCCAAATTTTTATTGAGATAAAATTAACAAAACAGGTTTTTCCTCTTTAGAGTATATAATTAAGTGGTTATTAGTATAATCACAGTGTTCTTTGTACATCACTAGAATCTGATTGTAGAACATATCTTTTGCCCCCCGCCCCCGCCAAGAAAAATCTACTTGGTTATTACTCAATCCCAATTCTCCTTCCCTCATCTCTTGGCAACAACTAAACTCCTATTTCTCTCTTTCTAATTGCTTTACCTGGACATTTCATATAGAGTCATACAATATGTGGCCTTTTGTGTCTGGTTTCTTTTACTTAAGCATAATGCTTTCGATGTTTGCCTAAGTTGTGTCATGTATTGGGACTTATTCCTTTTATCAAGGATATGGATATAGATATAGGTAATTTGCCACTTTAACCATTTTTTAAATGTTCAGATCAGTGGCATTAAGTACATTTGCACTATTATGCATTTTTCACCACCATCCTCCAGAAAATTTTCTTCTTCCCAAACTGCAACTGTACCTGTCAAACAAAAATTCCTAATTATTTCTCCCTTCTAGCCCTCGAAAACAACATTCTACTTTCCGTCTCTGAATTTGACTACTCTAGGTACCTCATGTAAGGAGGTTAATACAATATTTGTCCTTTTGTGTGTAGCTTCTTTCACTTAAGCTTAATGTTTTCAAGGTTCATTTTTATATCCTGTATCAGTCCTCCACTCATTTTTATGACTGAATGATATTCCATTGTTGGATATACCAATTTTTATTCATTCATAAATTGATAGATATTTGAGTTATTTATACTATTAGATTTTTATGAATAATGATGATGCTATGAACATTGATGTGTAAGTATGTGAATACATGTTTTCTGTTCTGTTGGGTATATACCTACACTGGAATTTCCAGGCCATATGAAAACTCTATTTTTAACTTTTTGAGGTCCTTACAAAGTGTTTTCCA